CCCCCAAAAAAAAAAAAAAAAGGTGTTGTTGACTTTTCGTTTATATCCTGCAGGTTTGGGTGTACAAGAAGAGCTATCTGCAGAGATTCCCTACGCTCAAGCCGTATTCCGACCACGCTCCGGCAGCTGACACAACGGCGTCGCACACTGTGACCCATTCGAAAGAGTACGTTAACAAGGAGAATCCAGGAGTAGTTGTACCCCCAGAGGAAGTGAGAAAGGCGTATAAGTACGGGCCGCAGATCATTCCCGTCGACAAAGAAGACGAAGAAACGTTGGTGCTACATTCGGAAAAAGGGGTGAAGGTCATAGGCTTCACAGATGCAGCAAGTGTGCCGAGGTAAATGACCCAGACCCCTCCCCCCGTGCGAACCAACCTTTAACCTGCCTTTGATAAGAGAATTTAATACGTTATTTCAACTTATTTGTTTGGTGTTTTTAGTTACTTTTTACTAGTTTTTAATAACTTTTTAGGAAGTTTTACTCTTGTTTTTTTTTTTTTTACCCCCGTCAGAATTTGTTTTCCCTTCTGTTTTGAGGTGGTTCTTTGTTTGATATTTGCTCGGTTGGTTGGTGGAAAATTAGGGTAAAAAAAAAAAAAACATTTTTTTTTTTTTTCCCAAAGGACGATGGCCTTGAGATACCATCATTGAACCGACCAGCCCCAGGTAATTCAGAATGATTTTGTTCTGGGCATCTGATTGTATCTGGATTCGAACTTTGGTCTGATTCATATTGCAACAGTTCGTGGGTGTACCAAATGATTGGTTTGAGTGTTTGGCAAAGCTTTGCCGTTCTCGTATAAAGGCCACCCAAAAATTGAATGAAGTTTCGGTGTTCTGTTAATCCCCTCTCCTCCTCCTCTCCACCTCCTCTCCTCCTCTCCACCTCCTCTCCTCCTCCTCTCCTCCTCTTCTCCTCCTCCTCTCCTCCTCCTCTCCTCCTCCTCTCCTCCTCCTCTCCACTCCTCCCCTCCTTCTCTCCACCTCCATTGGCGAGAAAAAAAACTTTGTATCAATTGGCTATTATTTGAGTTTATCCTCCTCCTCCTCCTCCTCCTCCGCACACACCTGCAGAGCCTCAGAGTGCTAACGTGGAAGATGGGATAGGCATCACTAGCGTCCAGATGGTTGTCCGCTTGTGACCTGTGCGAAACCTCCTCGTCCTCGTCCTCGTCCTCGTCCTCCTCCTTCTCCTCCTCCTCACATGCGTGTCAGAGCAGAGGCCCACTCCTCCTCCTCCTCCTCCTTCTCCTCCTCCTCACATGTGTGTCAGATGAGAGGCCCAGAGGGCTAACGTGCTGGACGGGATAGGCGTCGTTAGAGTCCAGATGGCTGTCCGCGTCTGACCTGTGTGAGGCCTCCTTCATTTTTTTTATTTTTTTTTGTTTTCAAGTGTGTGTGTGTGTGTGTGTGTATTCCTTGTCTTAGCAATGAGGGTTGGCACTTTAACTTTCTCCATTTTTTGCTCTTTTCTCATCTTTTTTCTTATCTTTTGGCGCTTTGTCTTTCTCAATTTTTTGCTCTTTTCTTATCTTTTTTCTGATCTTTTTTCTGATATTTTTTCTGATATTTTTTCTTTTCTTATTTCTATTGCAAAATCTCTTAGCAATGGAGGATCGTCCTCTGTCTTTGTAGTTGATGTAATTTCTCCTCTGTAACTTTTTTTTTTTTTCTTGTTTTGGGTGCCTTCTTTGCCCTTTTCTTGCCATTTTTTTTAATGTTGTTGTTGTTTCCCGCTCGTTCCTTTTCTTTTCTTTTTGCTTTCTGCTCATTGTGTACCATAGTCATTTTTGTTCCTTTTTTTTTTTTTTTTTTTTTTTTTTTTTTTTTTTGTTTTTTTTTTTTTTTTTTTTTTTTTTTTTTTTTTTTCTTTTTTTTTTTTTTTTTTTTTTTTTTTTTTTTTTCCCCCCCCCCATCCCTGGGGTGGTTTTTTCGTTTTTTTTGTCCCCCCCCCCCCCCCCCCCCCCCCCCAAAAAAAAAAAAAAAAGGTGTTGTTGACTTTTCGTTTATATCCTGCAGGTTTAGATGTGTATAAGAGACAGACGCAGTACACTACACGACGGTAAAGTTGTGGGTTAGATTAAAAAAAAAAAGAAAAAAAAAAAGGTGTTGTTGGGTTTTTTTTCCCTTCCCTTTTTCCCTTTTCAAAGGGGCGGAACCCTTAACATCACTGTATCCGTTTGATTGATCAGGATTCAAACTCGCGACTATATATATATATATATATGNTTTTTTTTTTTTTTTTTTTTTTTTTTTTTTTTTTTTTTTTTTTTTTTTTTTTTTTTTTTTTTTTTTTTTTTTTTTTTTTTTTTTTTTTGGTTCTTGTGAGTCTGGTCTTCTCTCTCATTTTCTGATTTGCTATCCCTTTTTTTTTTGTCTTTTCTGCCAATTGTTTCCAAGGCACCAGTATATGAAGGATACCAATGTGTTCGTCCCAGACCCTAACAACGCGAAAGCGGCAGTGGCGCTTTCGGCACTTGCACGTGCTCTTCATGCCATGGGCAAAGTTGCAATAGTCCGCTGCGTATGGAGGGCATCCAGGAGTCCGATTGTTGTCGGTGTTCTCACGCCACATCTCGGTCAGAAGGAAAACGATGTGAGTGGATTTCTGAAATGCACACCATTACATTGACCTGTAACAGCTTTTAGAGAAATCATAAATGTTTATGTTTACAAATAATTGAAATAATAATTGAAATAATAATTGAAATAATAATTGAAATAATAATTGAAATAATAATTGAATATAATTGAAATAAAAATTGAAATAAAAATTGAAATAAAAATTAGATTGAAAAAAAAAATTGAAAAAAAATGGAAAAAAAAATTGAAAAAAAAATGAAAAAAAAATTGAAAAAAAAATTGAAAAAAGGAATTGAAGTAATAATTGAAATAATAATTTAATAATTGAAATAATTGAAATAATTGAAAAAAAAATCGATAAATGTATATCATAATATCTATATGCAAGGAAAATGAGCAATAGCGAAATGACAGAAATCCAGAATGGAAATTCGGACTGAAGGCCAGAAAGTCCAACGCTGTCCAGAAAGCAGAAATGCACTGATATAATGTGATATTGATATTCCACCAACGGAGAACCAACGGTGCACCGCTATGGCACACGGGGATGCGAGTGCTTAACGTCATCAATGTGGGAAGCCTTGTTTGTGAGAGGCAGAGTAGAGGGGAAGGGTCCGAAAGGAGGTAAACGAAGAAATGACCAAAAGAACGGTTTCACTGTGCTCTTCATGTTTGTCTCTCTATTTTTATCGTTTGTTTCACCCAGCGTAAAGCGCTCTTTTTTTTTTTTGTTTTTTTTAAGCTGTCTTCTCCTCATTGGGGGACAGCTGTATATGTATATATTTTTCTCTCTCTTTTTTTTTTGCACCATAGACCATGCGAATAGACGATAGGGGCAGTACCAGCACGCTTCTTCATCCGAATACAACGCCCGGTCATTATAGCTGTATTTGATGCAGCTTTCAGTCCAGATACGGCCATAACTACCGGGCGTTCGATTCGGGTGAAGACGGTAGTGAAGGATGTCAGGACATTTCACTCCTGCCAAGATCAGCGAGTTGGGGCGGGCCAACTGTCTCAGCTGGTGAGCCCCAAGTGCGCGGCAGGGGGTCATGGGGGGTCGAACAGACAAAGTTGGGAATCGAAACCACAACATCGTGAATGCCACTTGTGTGCTCAACCAACTGAGCTAGCCCGCTGGCCCTGTAAAGCGCTCTTTTGGTTGATCGGTATGTCGTTGATATCCTGATGAGTCGGTGAAACTCCGACGACCCAGTTTGTCACAGCCCCTCATTTGCTTTCCTCTTCTCCCTCTCCGCCTACGGTCTACCGGGCAGTTCTGTTTGACGATATGTATGCCAGCGGTGTGTCTGGAGTGTATATTCTGGGTGTGACAGGCCTTTCTTTGTTTCGTGGGGGTTGGGTAGCTTATGATGGGGTGTGAACATACTCATACTCATCTGTAGAGTCTTCCATCTGGTGTGGGTGAGTGATAGTCTGCTTGGAGTTTTGTCACAGGTACTGTCGAGCGCTGTGGTTGGTGCTCACGGCAGGGTATCGGTTGTCGGGCAGTCGTTGATGCTTAAACACAGCCGGGGTTAAGATGGGTGAATTGTAACACTTAGTATCATCAGTTAGGGGACTCTGCAGACTGTAGCCGGTTCAGCCTCCTGATGAGTGAGGTGGTGAAACTCCTATGAAATGTCACACAGCCCTTCGTTTCTTGTCCTCTTCTCCCTCACTGCTCGACGACTTACGGTTATCATCGCTCAAGGGACTCTGCGGATGGATGTAGAGGGTTCAGCCTCGTGATGAGTCGGTCGGTGAAACTACGATGAAACACAGCCTGTGTCCTCTTCTCCGTCTCTGCCTACGGTTCGCCCTCTTGTACTAGGGCCGTAGGCACAGAGAGAGAGAGAGAGAGAGAGAGAGGGAGACAGACAGACAGACAGACAGACAGACACACCGACACACAGACACACAGACGCACACACACACACACACACACACAGAGAGAGAGAGAGAGAGAGAGAGGACGATTAATTATGGGCTGCTATAGACTTTTTTTTTTTTGTTTCACCGCCTGACTCTTCACGAGGCCGAACCCTCTACATCAGTCTGCAGAGTCCCCTGACCGAT